GGAAGAAAGGAAGAAAGGCAGAGATGTGTGAGAGAGGCGAGAGAGCGACAGCATGAGGAGCCCAACATTATGAGTGTTGCAAAATTATTACTGAGGTAATGTGAAAGAAGAGTGTTTGGGTCTCTTCAGTCAGGTGGTGATGGACCACTGGTGGAGGGAGGGAGCACCACTGGTGGAGGGAGGGGGGACCACTGGTGGAGGGAGCTCACCACTGGTGGAGGGAGGGAGGACCACTGGGACGCGAGGAAGGAGGTAGGACAGGAGAAGGAGGGAGAAAGAGAAGGAAGGGTAGCATGGAGGTTGGAGATGTGGGAAGGAAGAGACAGAAGGGGAAGGGAAACTAAAATATTCCTATTTCTGGCCCTGTTTACTGTGTAGGGGAGAGTGAGGAGCAGCAAAGGGGAGGAGATATAGTGACTGAGGGACATACAGTGACACACGAAGGGTTATACAGTGACACATGGAGGGTCATACAGTGACAGGGAGGGTCATACAGTCACACGGAGGGTTATACAGTGACAGGGAGGGTCATACAGTGACAGGGAGGGTCATACAGTGACAGGGAGGGTCATACAGTGACAGGGAGGGTCATACAGTGACAGGGAGGGTCATACAGTGACACATGGAGGGTCATACAGTGACAGGGAGGGTCATACAGTGACACAGGGAGGGTCATACAATGACAGGGAGGGTCATACAGTGACACATGGAGGGTCATACAGTGACAGGGAGGGTCATACAGTGACACGGAGGGTTATACAGTGACAGGGAGGGTCATACAGTGACACGGAGGGTCATACAGTGACACGGAGGGTCATACAGTGACACGGAGGGTCATACAGTGACAGGGAGGGTCATACAGTGACACATGGAGGGTCATACAGTGACAGGGAGGGTCATACAGTGACAGGGAGGGTCATACAGTGACAGGGAGGGTCATACAGTGACACATGGAGGGTCATACAGTGACAGGGAGGGTCATACAGTGACAGGGAGGGTCATACAGTGACACAGGGAGGGTCATACAGTGACAGGGAGGGTCATACAGTGACACGGAGGGTCATACAGTGACACGGAGGGTCATACAGTGACAGGGAGGGTCTTACAGTGACACGGAGGGTTATACAGTGACAGGGAGGGTCATACAGTGACACAGGGAGGGTCATACAGTGACACAGGGAGGGTCATACAGTGACACAGGGAGGGTCATACAGTTACACGGAGGGTTATACAGTGACAGGGAGGGTCATACAGTGACACAGGGAGGGTCATACAGTGACACATGGAGGGTCATACAGTGACACATGGAGGGTCATACAGTGACACATGGAGGGTCACACAGTGACACAGGGAGGGTCATACAGTGACACAGGGAGGGTCATACAGTGACACATGGAGGGTCATACAGTGACACAGGGAGGGTCATACAGTGACACAGGGAGGGTCATACAGTGACACATGGAGGGTCATACAGTGACAGGGAGGGTCATACAGTGACAGGGAGGGTCATACAGTGACACAGGGAGGGTCATACAGTGACACGGAGGGTTATACAGTGACAGGGAGGGTCATACAGTGACAGGGAGGGTCATACAGTGACACAGGGAGGGTCATACAGTGACACATGGAGGGTCATACAGTGACAGGGAGGGTCATACAGTGTCACATGGAGGGTCATACAGTGACAGGGAGGGTCATACAGTGACAGGGAGGGTCATACAGTGACACGGAGGGTCATACAGTGACAGGGAGGGTCATACAGTGACACGGAGGGTCATACAGTGACAGGGAGGGTCATACAGTGACACATGGAGGGTCATACAGTGACAGGGAGGGTCATACAGTGACACATGGAGGGTCATACAGTGACAGGGAGGGTCATACAGTGACACATGGAGGGTCATACAGTGACAGGGAGGGTCATACAGTGACAGGGAGGGTCATACAGTGACAGGGAGGGTCATACAGTGACACAGGGAGGGTCATACAGTGACACGGAGGGTTATACAGTGACAGGGAGGGTCATACAGTGACAGGGAGGGTCATACAGTGACACAGGGAGGGTCATACAGTGACACATGGAGGGTCATACAGTGACAGGGAGGGTCATACAGTGTCACATGGAGGGTCATACAGTGACAGGGAGGGTCATACAGTGACAGGGAGGGTCATACAGTGACACGGAGGGTCATACAGTGACAGGGAGGGTCATACAGTGACACGGAGGGTCATACAGTGACAGGGAGGGTCATACAGTGACACATGGAGGGTCATACAGTGACAGGGAGGGTCATACAGTGACACATGGAGGGTCATACAGTGACAGGGAGGGTCATACAGTGACACATGGAGGGTCATACAGTGACAGGGAGGGTCATACAGTGACACAGGGAGGGTCATACAGTGACAGGGAGGGTCATACAGTGACACGGAGGGTCATACAGTGACAGGGAGGGTCATACAGTGACAGGGAGGGTCATACAGTGACAGGGAGGGTCATACAGTGACAGGGAGGGTCATACAGTGACAGGGAGGGTCATACAGTGACACATGGAGGGTCATACAGTGACAGGGAGGGTCATACAGTGACAGGGAGGGTCATACAGTGACAGGGAGGGTCATACAGTGACAGGGAGGGTCATACAGTGACAGGGAGGGTCATACAGTGACACATGGAGGGTCATACAGTGACAGGGAGGGACATACAGTGACACATGGAGGGTCATACAGTGACAGGGAGGGTCATACAGTGACACGGAGGGTCATACAGTGACAGGGAGGGTCATGCAGTGACACATGGAGGGTCATACAGTGACACGGAGGGTCATACAGTGACAGGGAGGGTCATACAGTGACACGGAGGGTCATACAGTGACAGGGAGGGTCATACAGTGACAGGGAGGGTCATACAGTGACACGGAGGGTCATACAGTGACACGGAGGGTCATACAGTGACAGGGAGGGTCATACAGTGACACATGGAGGGTCATACAGTGACAGGGAGGGTCATACAGTGACACGGAGGGTCATACAGTGACAGGGAGGGTCATACAGTGACAGGGAGGGTCATACAGTGACACAGGGAGGATCATACAGTGACACACGGGGGTCATATAGTGATACAGAGACCCCAGACATGATAATGACAGGGATAATAACAGTGATAATACCAGTGAAAATGACTGATAATAACAGTGAAATGACTGATAATAACAGTGAAAATGACTGATAATAACAGTGATAAGGACTGATAATGACAGTGATAATGGCAGTTTTTTTCAGGGATATTCCTGCGCGGGCCCTAAGCCTCTGGCTGGCCCACTAAGTGTTGCTTGTTTCTGTTTTACTTGGGCGAAGTATGAGTATTGATGACTCGTATGGTCGCTTCAGTAAGATTTTGCCATATGTGTTTAACAACTTCTTCTGCTCTGTTGAATCTAAGTTGAAATCCTAATGGGTTTGTAACTGTGCACTGTGTTAGATAATGTTCCAGTGGTCTGTCGTGGCTGTAACTGTGCACTGTGTTAGATAATGTTCCAGTGGTCTGTCGGGCATTTCTCCACAGTGCTGACATTTCCTCTCATCTTCCGGAACCTGTAAGCCTATTTCCCATGCACATGGGTATCCAAGCCTGATGCGATGTAAGTGTACTTCTGTTGCTCTACTGCTCCCTTTCATCAAACTAAGTGGTTCGTAGTTGGTGGAATTCTTGTACCAACCCGCAGATCCTGATGGGTGGTGGTCACTGTACATCTTGATAATGGCAGTGATAATGATAGTGATAATAACAGTAATAATTGCAGTGATAATGATAGTGATAATAACAGTGATAATAACAGTGAAAATGACTGATAATAAGAGTGAAAATGACAGCGATAATAACAGCGATAATAACAGTGAAAATGACAGTGATAATAACAGTGATAATGACAGTGATTATAACAGTGATAATAACAGTGATAATAACAGTGATAATGACAGTGATAATAACAGTGATAATGATTGATAATGACTGATAATAACAGTGATAATGACAATGATATTGTACAGTGAAAATGACAATGATAATAACAGTAATAATGACAGTGATAATGACAGTGATGACACTGATAATGACACTGATAATAACACTGATAATGACACTGATAATGACAGTGATAATGACAGTGATAATAACACTGATAATAACAGTGATAATGACAGTGATAATGACAGTGATAATGTACAGTGATAATGACAGTGATAATGTACAGTGATAATGACTGATAATAACAGTGATAATGATTGATAATAACTGATAATAACAGTAATAATAACAGTGATAATGACACTGATAATGACAGTGATAATGACAGTGATAATGTACAGTGATAATGACTGATAATGACTGATAATAACAGTGATAATGACTGATAATGACTGATAATAACAGTGATAATGACAGTGATAATGACAGTGATAATAACAGTGATAATGACAGTGATAATGTACAGTGATAATGACTGATAATGACTGATAATAACAGTGATAATGATTGATAATAACTGATAATAACAGTAATAATAACAGTGATAATGACACTGATAATGACACTGATAATGACACTGATAATGACACTGATAATGACAGTGATAATGACAGTGATAATGTACAGTGATAATGACTGATAATAACAGTGATAATGATTGATAATAACTGATAATAACAGTAATAATAACAGTGATAATGACACTGATAATGACACTGATAATGACACTGATAATGACACTGATAATAACAGTAATAATAACAGTGATAATGACACTGATAATGACACTGATAATGACACTGATAATGACACTGATAATGACACTGATAATGACACTGATAATGACACTGATAATGACAGTGATAATGACAGTGATAATGTACAGTGATAATGACTGATAATGACTGATAATAACAGTGATAATGATTGATAATAACTGATAATAACAGTAATAATAACAGTGATAATGACACTGATAATGACACTGATAATGACACTGATAATGACAGTGATAATGACAGTGATAATGTACAGTGATAATGACTGATAATGGGAGAAATAACGAGTCTTACTATATCATTCGCTGGTAATTAAACAGCTTGAGCCAGTATTGTGTAAACTCATCATTTTTAGCCCTCTTTAATTTTTTCTCCGTTAGCCATTTGTTTCGCGGTGGTGGCAGGTGTGGTAGTGTTGGTAGCAGGGGTGGTAGTGTTGGTAGCAGGGGTGGTAGCGTTGGTAGCCGTGGTGGTAGAGTTGGTAGCTTAGGTGTGGTAGGGTTGGTATCCGTGGTGGTAGCTTAGGTGTGGTAATGTTGGTAGCCGTGGTAGTGGTAGCAGGTGTGGTAGCGTTGGTATCCGTGGTGGTAGCTTAGGTGTGTGGTAGAGTTGGTATCCGTGGTGGTAGCTTAGGTGTGGTAGCGATGGTAGCCGTGGTGGTAGCAGGTGTGGTAGCGATGGTAGCCGTGGTGGTAGCAGGAATGGTAGCGTTGGTATCCGTGATGGTAGCAGATGTGGTAGTGTTGGTAGCCGTGGTGGTATCAGGAATGGTAGCGTTGGTATCCGTGATGGTAGCAGATGTGGTAGTGTTGGTAGCCGTGGTGGTAGCAGGTGTGGTAGAGTTGGTAGCCGTGGTGGTAGCTTAGGAGTGGTAGTGTTGGTAACCGTGGTGGTAGCAGGTGTGGTAGATTTGGTAGCCGTGGTGGTAGCAGGTGTGGTAGAGTTGGTAGCCGTGGTGGTAGCAGGAATGGTAGCGTTGGTATCCGTGATGGTAGCAGATGTGGTAGTGTTGGTAGCCGTGGTGGTAGCTTAGAAGTGGTAGTGTTGGTAGCCGTGGTGGTAGCTTAGGTGTGGTAGATTTGGGAGCCGTGGTGGTAGCAGGTGTGGTAGAGTTGGTAGCCGTGGCGGTAGCAGGTGTGGTAGAGTTGGTTGCCGTGGTGGTAGGTGTGTGGTAGAGTTTGTAGCCGTGGTGGTAGCTTAGGTGTGGGAGCGTTGGTATCAGTGGTGGTAGCAGGTGTGGTAATGTTGGTAGCTGTGGTGGTAGCAGGTGTGGTAGCGTTGGTAGCCGTGGTGGTAGCAGGTGTGTTAGCGTTGGTGTCCGTGGTGGTAGCTTAGGTGTGGTAGTGTTGGTAGCCGTGGTGGTAGCGGGTGTGGTAGAATTGGTAGCCGTAGTGGTAGCAAGTGTGGTAGCGTTGGTAGCCGTGGTGGTAGCAGGTGTGGTAAACGCTGCTACGATAACGTGAAAGCAACTATGATAACGCGATAGCAGTGTTGAATACAAGATAGCAGCGTTGAATACAAGATAGCAGCCTTGATAATGCAATAACGACCTTGGTAACACAATAGCTGTAGCCTTGATAACACAATGGCACTTTTGATAACATGATGGCAGGCTTGATAACATTATAGTAGGCTTGATAACGCTATTGCAGCAATGATAACACGATATAAGCCTTAGATAACCCGATAGAAGCCATGATAACTCGATATGGGCTTTGATAATGCGACAATACCCGTTGATAACATGAGAGCTCTCTCTCTCTCTCTCTCTCTCTCTCTCTCTCTCTCTCTCTCTCTCTCTCTCTCTCTCTCTCTCTTTCTCTCTCCATAAATTGTCTTAATGAACCGGCTTCATAACTTCCACCGTTATGAAGTTAGAGTGCGACAAGTTATAATGAAGGTAAACAGTTATAATTACCTGAAAATTGTCTCCTTCCTCCCCCCTTAACGGGAGGAACCAGCAACGGTAGGAAATTATGCCGTTTTCTGTGCGATGACTGATCACATTTTCTTTATAAAAACTTCTGGAGGGACTCATGGGAAACTGAACTCGGGAAGACATGATTGACTACAAGTGAATGAAAAGCTGCTAAAGGAAGATCATGTCGTTCGTTATAAGGTTAATGTAACTTGTTATGCTTTGACAGGCAGTTCCTGAAAGCAAAAAATGGGAGAATCAGACGAACGGAACGTGAGAGAAATGCGTGAGAGAATACGGAACAAATGGCGATCACAACATACATTGTAAAGTGGGGAAAAAGAGAAAACTCCTGTTCAAGCTAGGGAAATATGTGGAAGTATCGGCGAGATCGTCAAGTTGGGCGAGAAATCAATACTTAAGGAGGAGGTAAAAGGTTACAGTGAGATGAGGAGGTATCGGTACGTGTGGGAGCGGAGTACCGAGGGGAGTACCACAAGGGTGGGGAACTAAGGCCCATCCTCTTCCTAAAATCCGTCAGTGATCTAAAGGGAAATAAGATACTTCGTATCAATGTCTGATAAAGATGCAAAGCTAATAAGAAGAATCAAACCAGAGGAGGACTGTGGAACAGTATATATTAACAACATACACACCAGAAGAGGAGATGGAGACTTCCTGCTAGTTCTGAACGCAGACAAATGCTCAGGATTGAAAAGAAGGTTAAGCAGTTATTAGGAGAAAGTGGCAAGCAAATCTAACGGCAGAGGCACACACATGAGCCTGAGACCACCAGCCATATGTACCAGTGTGGCTGGTACATACCACAGATACCTACCACACAACAAGTATTGTGTGGCACATACCTCGAAAGATTTCCCAACCTCGAAAAGATTTCCGATACCTTGAAAAATTTCCGGAGCTTGCAGAAAGAAACTTCCCGCACGATATATATACTATCTATGTGAGACTATCTCTTGAGTATGCAGCCACAGCTACGGAATCCTCTCCTTGTAAAGCACTAAAAGCGACACACAACGAGCCTCATGCCTGAGTTAAGGAGGCCTGAGTAGGGGGGAAGAGGCTAAGAAAACTGGACCTCACCACACAATAGGAAAGAACGACCCGGCAGGTTTGGTTTTAATGAGAATGGACCAAGAAGCCGGGGAAGTAATATCCAAAGTTAAGAGCAACAGATAGTTGGGACACAGATGAAACTACAGACACAAATGAGATACAAAGATACCAGACAGATATTCTTCATTATATGATCCATAAACAAGTGGAATGGATTAGATGAGGCTCTTGAGGCTAACTTAATCCACAAAAATAAAAATAAGGGAAAGAAACAAGGGCATATCCCTGGCATTATCCTACTAACGTTTCAACAGGCGGCGAGTAAGAGCTGGCATTGGAACCTGCAAGCACAGCTAGGAGAGTTCACCCAGGCGAGCACAAGCACACCAAGGAGAGTCCACCCAGGCGAGCACAAGCACACCAAGGAGAGTCCACCCAGGCGAGCACAAGCACTCCTAGGAGAGTTCAACCAGACGAGCACACGCACTCCTAGGAGAGTTCACCCAGGCGAGCACAAGCACTCCTAGGAGAGTTCACCCAGGCGAGCACAAGCACACCAAGGAGAGTCCACCCAGGCGAGCACAAGCACTCCTAGGAGAGTCCACCCAGGCGAGCACAAGCACTCCTAGGAGAGTTCAACCAGGCGAGCACACGCACTCCTAGGAGAGTTCACCCAGGCGAGCACAAGCACTCCTAGGAGAGTTCACCGAGGCGAGCACAAGCACACCAAGGAGAGTTCACCCAGGCGAGCACAAGCACACCTAGGAGAGTCCACCCAGGCGAGCACAAGCACTCCTAGGAGAGTCCACCCAGGCGAGCACAAGCACTCCTAGGAGAGTTCACCCAGGCGAGCACAAGCACTCCAAGGAGAGTTCACCCAGGCGAGCACAAGCACACCTAGGAGAGTCCACCCAGGCGAGCACAAGCACTCCTAGGAGAGTCCACCCAGGCGAGCACAAGCACACCAAGGAGAGTCCACCCAGGCGAGCACAAGCACACCAAGGAGAGTCCACCCAGGCGAGCACAAGTACTCCTAGGAGAGTTCACCCAGGCGAGCACAAGCACTCCAAGGAGAGTTCACCCAGGCGAGCACAAGCACACCTAGGAGAGTCCACCCAGGCGAGCACAAGCACACCAAGGAGAGTCCACCCAGGCGAGCACAAGCACACCAAGGAGAGTCCACCCAGGCGAGCACAAGCACTCCTTGGAGAGTCCACCCAGGCGAGCACAAGCACACCAAGGAGAGTCCACCCAGGCGAGCACAAGCACACCAAGGAGAGTCCACCCAGGCGAGCACAAGCACACCAAGGAGAGTCCACCCAGGCGAGCACAAGCACTCCAAGGAGAGTTCACCCAGGCGAGCACAAGCACACCAAGGAGAGTCCACCCAGGCGAGCACAAGCACACCAAGGAGAGTCCACCCAGGCGAGCACAAGCACACCAAGGAGAGTCCACCCAGGCGAGCACAAGCACACCAAGGAGAGTCCACCCAGGCGAGCACAAGCACACCAAGGAGAGTCCACCCAGGCGAGCACAAGCACACCTAGGAGAGTCCACCCAGGCGAGCACAAGCACTCCTAGGAGAGTCCACCCAGGCGAGCACACGCACACCTAGGAGACTCCACCCAGGCGAGCACAAGCACACCAAGGAGAGTCCACCCAGGCGAGCACAAGCACACCTTGGAGAGTCCACCCAGGCGAGCACAAGCACTCCTAGGAGAGTCCACCCAGGCGAGCACAAGCACACTAAGGAGAGTACACCCAGGCGAGCACAAGCACACCAAGGAGAGTCCACCCAGGCGAGCACACGCACACCAAGGAGAGTCCACCCAGGCGAGCACACGCACACCAAGGAGAGTCCACCCAGGCGAGCACACGTACACCAAGGAGAGTCCACCCAGGCGAGCACACGCACACCAAGGAGAGTCCACCCAGGCGAGCACACGCACACCAAGGAGAGTCCACCCAGGCGAGCACACACACCAAGGAGAGTCCACCCAGGCGAGCACACGCACACCAAGGAGAGTTCACCCAGGCGAGCACACGCACACCTAGGAGACTCCACCCAGGCGAGCACAAGCACACCAAGGAGAGTCCACCCAGGCGAGCACACGCACACCTAGGAGAGTCCACCCAGGCGAGCACAAGCACTCCTAGGAGAGTCCACCCAGGCGAGCACAAGCACACTAAGGAGAGTCCACCCAGGCGAGCACAAGCACACCAAGGAGAGTCCACCCAGGCGAGCACACGCACTCCAAGGAGAGTCCACCCAGGCGAGCACACGCACACCTAGGAGACTCCACCCAGGCGAGCACAAGCACACCAAGGAGAGTCCACCCAGGCGAGCACACGCACTCTAAGGAGAGTCCACCCAGGCGAGCACACGCACACCAAGGAGAGTCCACCCAGGCGAGCACACGCACACCAAGGAGAGTCCACCCAGGCGAGCACACGCACACCAAGGAGAGTCCACCCAGGCGAGCACACGTACACCAAGGAGAGTCCACCCAGGCGAGCACACGCACACCAAGGAGAGTCCACCCAGGCGAGCACACGCACACCAAGGAGAGTCCACCCAGGCGAGCACACGTACACCAAGGAGAGTCCACCCAGGCGAGCACACGCACACCAAGGAGAGTCCACCCAGGCGAGCACACGCACACCTAGGAGAGTCCACCCAGGCGAGCACAAGCACACCAAGGAGAGTCCACCCAGGCGAGCACAAGCACACCTAGGAGAGTCCACCCAGGCGAGCACAAGCACTCCTAGGAGAGTCCACCCAGGCGAGCACAAGCACACTAAGGAGAGTCCACCCAGGCGAGCACAAGCACACCAAGGAGAGTCCACCCAGGCGAGCACACGCACACCAAGGAGAGTCCACCCAGGCGAGCACACGCACACCAAGGAGAGTCCACCCAGGCGAGCACACGCACACCAAGGAGAGTCCACCCAGGCGAGCACACGTACACCAAGGAGAGTCCACCCAGGCGAGCACAAACACGCCGTGCCAATCTCCTCGTTGTATACACAAAAATGTATTTTTCCTTCCTCCTCCGTCAGCGATATATTGAGTACGACCCGCGACTCGTCGAAGCTTTCCATCAGTGGGGGATGCGATCAGCCAAAAGAAAATAAAAAAAATATAAAAATACCATTAAAGAAGAGACCGAATGCTCTGATGTCCCTGTCAAACTGTTCACCGTCACGTTGTGTTGTTGGTTTTAGATTCAGCTACTCGGAACAAAAGTTCCAAGTAGCACGGGCTATGGTGAGCCCGTAGTGGACTTGCCTGGCACAGGAGCGGGGCTGAAACTGTACACCATCACGGCAATCCTCTTCTTTACATCTCTCAACACCCCTCTCGGGCTCTAGAAGGGAACCCTGAGCAGGAAATGTCCGCCCTAAATAAGGGCTCCAGGCCCTGAAAAGTGAGAGAAAATGGAAGCTAGTCTTAAATACCGAATACCGTACTTAAACAGAAGACAAAACAAGGGTGATACTATACAGTGACTCTGGACCTCTGACAAGGGTGATACTATACAGTGACTCTGGACCTCTACATAATGAAAGACAGGAGAGAGGTGAAGATATTATCAACAGAGATCGTTAAGCCAGAATGACCATATGGAAGGGTTATGAGGCTAGGGTTGAAGCAGGGATAGGAGGACAGGACAGAAGTTGGGATGGATATGAAGACCGTATAGGAGCTGGGATGGGAGAAACATGATAGGAGCTGGGATAAGAGGAACAGGATAGGAGCTGGGAAAAGTGGAACAGGATAGGAGCTGGGATAAGAGGAACAGGATAGGAGCTGGGATAAGAGAAACAGGATAGGAGCCAGAGTGAAGCAGGATAGGTGCTGGAATAAGAGAAAGGGGGAAGGAAATGTTTGCGTGCACCCGCACGTTTGTGAGTGTGTGTGTGAGCATTTAATGAGCCGAGGCAGCAAATGGTGTGTAAAAATACAGAATACAAAATTCCCTCTCGGTGGTTCCTGTACCCTTTCAATGTAAGCATAAAATCAACATGCGTTTCAGATTGAACCTGCATGAATGTATGTTTGAAAGTGGGTGCGCGTATACATATGCATATATATGCACATAAATGTGCATGCATGTATTGCTATGGGCCCTCCTGTGTACTCCTGTGACAACACCAACACCCGCATTTTGTTTAATTGCCTTTGAGAGGGGGAGGATATGGTAACAGGAACAGCCGCCCTTGTTGTCCCGAGCCTGGATCAACAGACCTTCCGCTTTCCCGGGCATGATATGGTTCCGCCGCCCATCTACGGGCTCACCATAGCCCGTGTTACTTGGAACTTTTTGTTCCAGGTAGCGAATCTTTAACAACAACAACATTGTGAGCTTCGCAAGGCAGGATTGCTTCAGTATTCCTAAGCACATGATGTGTCCCAGAGTTCGTATTCGCAGGCTGGTCCCAGGAATACACAACAGGCGAGAGACGGACTAGCGCTGGGATAAAGAAGCGGGAAATCAGAGGACACCGAGCCTTAACTCACGGGACCAGAGAGAGAGATGTGACGTAATCGCTTCGTCGGCGTCTTCTGGGTGTTGCAGGATGGTCATAGATGGTGTAGTATGATCAAATGATACATACACTCTAGTGAGGATTATCAGATCAACCATTGAGCTGAAAGGAAAATATCTTCAATGCAGTGAACAAATAAAATAAGACAGAAGAGGATACGATTTTAAAAGTAAATTGTATAAAAAAAACATATTTACAGTCACCGTGTTTGACTACCAACAGGTACAAAAGCCTAATCCCAAGAGCTGAAGATCGACCATACAAACAAGGCTAGATGAATGCTTGAAGACAAACACACGCTCTCTCGCTCCCATGAGGCGAGTGCCCCCTCTCCCCTAGAGGAGTAATGAGGGCCTGATAGCCCTCATCCCACTCCTCACAATCTAGCAGTTGGAATGACCACTGAAGATCTCCCTCCTTGGCCACAGAGGGGAAATGACTCCGACAATTGAGGGTTAGGCTTCTGAATGGCCTCATTTCCCCTCTGATCTTCTTACAGGTTGATGATTTCTTTGCCTGGTTTGGGTGTAGACCTCACACACACACACACACACACACACACACACACACACAGACGTTAGAAAGAATTTTTTCAGTGTCAGAGTAGTTATCAAATGGAATGCACTAGGAAGTGATGTGGTGGAGGCTGACTCCATACACAATTTCAGATATAAGTGATAGAGCCCAGTAGGCTCAGGAATCTATACACCAGTTGATTGATAGTTGAGAGGCGGGACCAAAGAGACTAAGCTCAACCCCCGCAAGCATAACTAGGTGAGTACACACACACACAGGTGAGTACAATTAGGTGAGTACACATACACACACACACACACACAATGCAAATGCAATGTAAATGCAAAGTAAAGAAACTAGGCAGTGGAAACAGGAGGCCAGACACAGGATACAGAATAGGAGATGAAGTACTTAATGAAACAGACAGAGAGAAAGATCTAGGAGTTGATATCACACCAAACCTGTCTCCTGAAGCCCACATAAAGAGAATAACGTCTGCGGCATATGCGAGGCTGGCTAACATCAGAACGGCGTTCAGGAACCTGTGTAAGGAATCATTCAGAATCTTGTACACAACATATGTAAGACCAATCCTGGAGTATGCGGCCCCAGCATGGAGCCCGTACCTTGTCAAGCACAAGACGAAGCTGGAAAAATTCCAAAGGTATGCTACTAGACTAGTCCCAGAACTAAGAGGCATGAGTTATGAGGAAAGGCTGCGGGAAATGCACCTTACGACACTGGAAGACAGAAGAGTAAGGGGGGACATGATCACAACCTACAAAATCCTCAGGGGAATCGACCGGGTAAACAAGGATGAACTATTCAACACTGGAGGGACGCGAACAAGGGGATACAGGTGGAAGCTGAGTACCCAAATGAGCCACAGAGACATTAGAAAGAACTTTTTCAGTGTCAGAGTAGTTAGTAAATGGAATGCACTAGGAAGTGATGTGGTGGAGGCTGACTCCATACACAGTTTCAAATGTAGATGTGATAGAGCCCAGTAGGCTCAGGAATCTGTACACCAGTTGATTGACAGTTGAGAGGCGGGACCAAAGAGCCAGAGCTCAACCCCCGCAAGCACAATTAGGTGAGTACAAATAGGTGAGTACACACACACACACACACACACACACACACACACACACACACACACACACTCGCCTGGGACACCGTCTTCTCGCCTCTGTGTTTGCTCTCTCATAAGTAAACAATTTCGAGGTTCCTCCTGTTTGCTCTTCTCCCTAACCAAGGTAAACAGAGCTTTGATATACACCTCGAACTCAAGCCAACTTTATGAGTGGACGGAGCCATGGTGATAAAGGTGGTGGGGAGGGGGGGGGTGATAATGATGATGATAGTGGTGATGCTGCGGATGATGATTGTCATGATGGTAATGCTGGGGATGACCAAGATGGTGATGATGGTAAGGATGGTGATACAATCAGAGATACACGTTGAGTGGATATCGGGCAGTCTGTCTCAGTGAACATCACCATCAAAATCAACTG